CAGAACGGCTCAGATGTGGCTCAGATGTGGGGCAGAACGGCTCAGATGTGGGGCAGCTGTGGGGCACAAAGTGGGGCAGAACGGCTCAGATGTGGGGCAGCTGTGGGGCAGCTGTGGGGCAGAACGGCTCAGATGTGGGGCAGCTGTGGGGCAGAATGGCTGAGATGTGGGGCAGATGTGGCTCAGATGTGGGGCACAACGGCTCAGATGTGGGGCAGCTGTGGGGCAGAACGGCTCAGATGTGGGGCAGCTGTGGGGCACAACGGCTCAGACGCTCCGCAGCCGCGCCGCAGCGACGCTCAGCCGCGGGGCGAGCCACGTGACCCATCACATGACCACCCCCCCCTCCATCCATCCATCACGTGACCGCCCCCCCCACCCCTCCCATCCCACCGCAGCCTCCGCCGCGAGGGCTACACGGTGCAGGTGAACGTCAACGACTACCTGGACATTTACTGCCCCCGTTACGACGGAGCGGCGGCGGCGACGGGGCGGCGACCGACGGACGGCGGCGGGGCGGAGGGATCCGGCCCGGAAGCGCAGGCGGAGCAATACGCGCTGTACATGGTGGACGCGGAGGGATACCGCACGTGTAACAGCAGCGGTGGATCCAAACGCTGGGAGTGCAGGCGGCCGGCGGCGCCGCGGGGACCGGTGAAATTCAGCGAGAAGTTTCAGCGTTACTCCGCTTTTTCCTTGGGGTTCGAGTTCAGGGCCGGCCGGGAGTATTACTACATTTGTGGGTATTCGGAGCGCGGCCCTATAAATGCGTCGCCCCATAGCACGGCCCTATAGAAATGCCCTATAGCGACACTGCCACCTAGCGGCGGCTGGGGGTATTGCAAGTGTGGACAGCCATAGCACGGCCCTATGGAAATTCCCCATAGCGACACTGCCACCTTGCGGCGGCTGGGGGTATTGCAACTGTGGGCTCCCATAGCGCGGCCCTATGGAAATTCCCTATAGCGACACTGCCACCTAGCGGCGGCTGGGGGTATTGCAACAACTGGGCAGCCATAGCACGGCCCTATAGAAATTCCCCATAGCAACACCGCCCCCTAGCGGCGGCTGGGGGTATTACTGCATTTGTGGGTATTCGGAGAGCGGCCCTATAGCGACACCACCCCATAGATTCTGCCCCATAACCGCATCACCCCATAGCACGGCCCTATAACAGCATCACCACATAGCATGGAACCCCATAGCACGGCCCTATAGCCGCATCACCCCATAGATTCTGCACCATAACCGCATCACCCCATAGCGCGGCCCTATAGGAATTCCCCATAGCAACACCGCCCCCTAGCGGCGGTTGGGAGTATTACTACATTTGTGGGTATTCGGAGCGCGGCCCTATAAATGCGTCGCCCCATAGCACGGCTCTATAGAAATGCCCTATAGCGACACTGCCACCTAGCGGTGGTTGGGAGTATTGCAACTGTGGGCTCCCATAGCACGGCCCTATGGAAATTCCCCATAGCGACACTGCCACCTAGTGGCGGCCGGGGGTATTGCAACAACTGTCGGTACCCCATTGCACCGCCCTATAGCGACATCACCCCATAGATTCTGCCCCATAACCGCATCA